TGCCAGTAGCGCGATTGGCTGCCGGGCGCGCTGCTGCCGCTGTGTGCGGACAGCGCGGCCACGACCGACCCTTGCCGGCTATCCAGCAATAACTCCCGTGCAATCTGACTTTAAATAACGTAACCTGATATAACATGAACATGATCATTGAAATAGCTTGAAAACATAACTTTTGCACAATAAACTGCATAGGGTCGTGGCGAGCGCACCGTGCGCCGCCGACGGCGTTAGGCTGTCTCTCGACCAATTCAACTTTTTCCTCGGCAACTCAAGACCAATTAAACATGAAACATTATTTTTAAAGTTATTAAGACATAAATCACACGGACAATCAAAACCATAACAGAAGATAACATAGCATGACTTAGGACAGCCCGTGGCCATGCGCGACGTGCGCTGGCGACGGCTTTGAGCCGATTCATGAATAAACTTCAACTTGTCTCGACCAACATGAACCTACTGATTATAAAATGATCTAAAATGACCATATAAATAAGAATTGTTCATGAGTTGTCGGGTAAAATACGAAGTTACTCGATCATGACTTACTTAAGCATAACCGAACTTATCATGACACGTCTATGAAATCTGGAAACATGAATCGGACACTACATCCTCAAATGAACTTATTGACATGAAAATGAGTTGAGGATGGATTTACCTCCTCAAGTGCTCGCCGAAAATTCGCAAGCTGATCGTGACCTTGCATGCGCGTGTCCGTGTGCGGTACTTTGCTACTGCCGTGCGTACGGTGTTTGCTCCTTAGCGTGCGTGAACTAACACTTTTGCTCTCTTAATACTTGCTGACCGTAGTGTATAATTTAGGAGGAAGATAGGCTGAATATAACTTACTTATACTTAAGGAAAAGTTGGGAAAAATTGTCCAAACTCTTCCTTTTATAGCACCGAATGGAGCAACAAAAGTTGGGGGGTGATAATGTTTAACGTGGCCTTATTTTAAGCATGACAATTGCTCAACAATTAGGTAGTTTATGATGACTACTCCCAGCCTTAAACTCCCCAAATAAGGACACGTGTGAGGAAGGAAAATGTTTATGAAAAATTGGGAAATACCACATGAATTTCTGTACGGCTTGAAAACAATTTGGAAAATTAGTACGGCTTTGTGATCCATTAATTTGTGATTA